TTCTCCACCGAGCGAGTAGCGATAACACCAAGAGTAGGAGAGAGCATTTCAGTGAGAACTTCATACACGAAGTCACGCCCCGATACACCCAACTGCTTCTTGTAAGCGGCCCAGCACAGCAGGAACTCCTGCGAGTCCGATTTCACATAGGTCTCTAGTATCTTGGCATCCTGGAGTTGACTGTCCCAGGTCCCTTTAACCGTGAGATCATTGATAAACTGCATGATCTGTTGAATAGAATAGTCCTTACCAAAGCTCATCTTGCCGCATACGACCTGCCTTTCGGTAGCAGTAGGGGGGCGAACGGACAGCTCAACATCGCCTGACTTGCCGCTGGACTTGAACCTCTTGTCCTTTTCGTATCCGAGCAGAACGGTCTGGGCGTCTTTAACGGCCTCCATTGTAAACGGAGACGAACAGACACAACTAGCATGTTCACGTCACGAAATATTCTACCCGCTCTCAATCAGCCCATGAGTAGCCATCGATCGCCACGAAGAAGTGCTAGTATGTGTGAAGAGGATACATCGATGATCGAACGTGCATTAATCACATACATCTTCTAACACACAGGTCACGTCGTTACAGTCGATACCGACTTCCTATGTATAGCGTGATTCGAAGTGTTTCATACAATGAACCGCTCGCTTCAAGTGGAACAATTGGGAATTCCTCTCACTAGCCCAACACACGTAGTTCTGCGTAGTTATGCGTAGTTATGCGATCAAGGCCCATACTATCTAGCGCCCCGTAGACTTATAAAACCTAGAACCTCAATGACATTCTATTCGATATACACAATGACTAGTCGAACGACTCGAATGTGATCTGTGGACCCTCGATTTCCAGTCATAAACTTTGCTGAGCCCGGAAAAGGATTTCTCCTACGCCTTGTTTCATCATTTTTAAGCGCAACATGGCCGGTTACACCAGAGTCAGGGGCGGCGAACATACGTTATAGGGAAAAATATGCGGCGAGGATGGAGGCACATAAGCTGAACAGGGTACTCAAGCCAGCTATATGCCAATTAGTTCTACCCTAGAAACTTCCCAACAGTTAAAAAATCTCAACAGATAACGATTGTGAGCAATGATCGTGAGAAAGGTCGTGAGAAAAAATGAACGGCCGACTGGCTTCACTGGAGACTCACTGTTCGGGACGTAGCTGTCAGCTACCTGATGATCTCTAATAGAGATTCTCGATCTCATTAATGTAGAGATTAGTGCGAGTCCCAGTCCATGAGCATCACTCTGTCATCATCTCCGCATTCATTTGCCTTATTCTTAAATGACGCGTGGTCACGCACACGCCTCAATTCTCTTCCCTACACATTGAGATCAACGGCAGTGATCTCAGTATAGGTGCAAAAATTGCGAGGTTCCTCACGCTTTCATTGCACGGCGCTGTCACATCCTTACGATCTGCGGGATAGGAGTACGGTTAGGTGAAGGCTCCTTGCCCCTTGCTCCTGAAATCAAGGCGCACCTTAAGGAGCTTTCCTTGTGAAAAAGGCCCCTGTCTAGACACGTGACGCCTCACTAAAATAGCCTCAAGTTCGCAAGATTGGCAAGATTGAACGCATGCGTACGTCA